ACTTGTGCTTTATCGTCATCTGTCTGCGCCCAATGATCATCTTTCTTTCTAATGGGACCATCATGCTTAATCTGGTCTTTATGTTTCTTAGAGAGTTTCCAAAAAGACTAATTTGCAGACTTTTAAGGCAGCCAGTAGCCCTATTCGGTTGACTTTTGTCCTCAGGAGATACGGAAGTTTGCCACTATTTTTTTAGTTTTTTTTTATTGATTATGATTTTTATATGATGTTGATATGATTAATATTTTCATTAATTTTAAGAGGAATATTTAAATTAATTGCATTTTGAATATTATCTCTGAACAACTTCAACTTGTATATAATTTGAAAATGTGGGGCATTTATTTGTATTATATGCATGTTAATGAATAGAATGAATGAATGAATAGAATAAGAAAAATAAGTAGAAACTGGGATCTAGTAGATAGAAACAAACTAGGGCAATATAAAGAAATGAGATATACAAAGACCTATTAAAAGAACAACTTACCCAAAAATTAGACAGTGATGATAAAGATATAGACGAAATAGATAACATACTTACAGCAACAATGATTACATCAGGAAAAGAAATAGCAAAAAGGATCTAAAAAAGAACAAATATATATCAACAGAAACAAAGAAGCTTATGGATAAAAAAAGAAAGCTTGAACGAAGGAGGCAAAAGAAAGTCTATAGAATATGTAGAAATCAATAAAACAATGAGCAGAATGATAAAAGAAAATAAGAAAAAAGAACAAGAAATAAAAATAGACGAAGTAATACAGAACAACAAAAATATGAAATGCTTAAGGCCGAAATTAGGTAAGTTTGAAATAAACAAAATAAAATATGTAAATGGAGTAGAAACAAACGTTAAAGATGACCTCATAAATATAATCTACCATTTCTACTCAGAATTATATAAAACAAAAAAGGAACCACCAGAAGAAATTAAAAACCAACTTAAGGTTAAAATAAAAAATGTCAACTCAGAGCTACAGCCAGAAATAAGCAAATCAGAAATAAAAAAGGCATTGAAAGAAATGAAAAACAACAAATCGCCTGGAAAAGATGGAATAACTGCAGAGATGCTGAAATATGATGGAAAAGTGGTAATTAATACTCTACATCCCCCTTTTAACAAGATATTAAAAGAAAGAAGAATCCCAAACAACTGGAAGGAATCGGAATCAGTAACCATTATCCTACACAAGAAAGCGGATAAAGCAGATATAAAACACTACCGTCCTATAACACTCCTCAATGTAAGGTATAAACTCCTAACAAAAATATTAACTAATAGATTGACGACAAAATTCAATGGATACCAGTCGAAAGAACAAGCTGGTTTTAAAAAGGGATTCAGCACAAGTGACCATTTACTAAGTATGAAAATACTTATAGAACGAGCAAATGAATACCACATTCCTCTATATATGGCGTTCATAGATTTCGAAAAGGCTTTCGACAGGGTTGAACATCGGGCAGTGAAAAGTTCTTTGACTAACAGCAGAATTGACCACAGATATACGGAACTAATAGCCAATTATATATATATATATATATATATATATATATATATATATATATATATATATATATATATATATATCTATATATATATATATATATATATATATATATATATATCTATATATATATATATATATATATATATATATATATATATCTATATATATATATATATATTATATATATATATATATATATATATATATATATATATATATATATGGAAGTCAAAACAACAATTAAGTATATAAAGGAACAAAATCAATACAAATAAATAGAGTCGTGAGACAGGGTGATACAATATCACCGAAACTTTTCAATCAGGCTCTTAAAGATACTTTTAAAACATTAGAATGGGAAGAAAAAGGTATAAAAATTTGTGGACAACGCTTGAACCATCTAAGGTAGGCTGATGATATCGTATTGATAACTAATAAAAAAGAAGAATTATTTGAAATGATGAAAGAACTGGACGTAGAAGCTGGAAAGATAGGCCTTAATATGAATTACAGCAAGACCAAAACCATTAAAATACAGATGAAGACATCACAATGAGAATCGGACAAGATGAAATAGACCAAGTTCAGGATTATATATATCTTGGTTAAACTATAAAACTTAACAAAGAGAACTAAACAGCAGAGATAAAGAGACGAGTTAGACTGGCATGGGCGGCATTTGTCAAACTAAGCTCAATTTCTTAAAAACAAAAGATATAAACAGCATCTTAAGACCAAAGTATACAATCAATGCGTACTCCCTGTTCTTACTTATGGTTCACAAACGTGTACATTTACAAAAGCAAACATGGACAAAATCATAAAAACCCAAAGAGCAATGGAAAGACAAATGTTGCACATAAGACTAATGGATAAAAAGAGAAACGAGTGGATAAGAGAAAAAACAAAAGTGAGGGATGTTAGACAAGAAGTTGCAAAATTGAAATGGAGATTTGCCGGATACAATATAAGACAAAAAGAAGACCGATGGAACAAAATTCTTATAAGTTGGAGACCGTGGGAATATAAACGAAGCGGAGGAAGGCCCCAAATGAGATGGGCAGATGATATCAAGAAATACGTGGGCTCTAGGTGGATGACTGTAGCGACAGACAGAGAAGAATGGAAAAGAATTGGGGAGGCCTATGTCCAAAGATGGACCGAAGAAGGCTGATAGATATATATACATGTTACATCACATCAATAAATATGGGAGAATGCTCCTAACAAAGGTCAAAGAAAGGATTAATATTTAAAAAGTTGTTACTAATTTCTTTTACGATAGCAAAGTCGATGAGATCGGGCATTTTATCGGGTTGATCAATCCGTCCATCTCTAACCCCTTCGTTTAGACACGCTAATTGTCTTTTCAGTTTTGTGATATTAATATTATATTTTATTTTTTACAGGTTTTAAACAGTGGACCATCGACACGTGCGTTAATACCGTCGCTGTAAGATTGGAATTTAAACTATATTCATATTATCTCAAATATAATTTCATTTTGTTATTTATTTGTTATTTTTTAGTTGATTGAAACCTGAGTTTTAGTGAGTCTGCTGTCAAAAAGAGCTACCGGTCACAGTACCTAAACTTTTCCACTTTCATAATTTGTGTATTAATATTACTCCGAATCTTAAACCTTGCACTAGAGTTTATTAGTAAACTCTAAAATTCTGCTACTACTAAATCTACTAAATTTACTATTCTGAATTCTACTAAACTCTGTTTTATCTAACTCCATCTAATAGACTCCATTTCCTAATTCTCTATGCAAGCTTTTCAGCACAAACTCAAGCTGAAGAAATAAGATTATTGATGAATATAAGGATTTCGTGGCAGTAATGTTCCCAATTTCTTAGGTCTATTTCTACATAAACCTGGAATACCATTGGAGACGGACTTCATTTCTGTTTAAGGAATATAGATAGCTTTTGACAGTAAGTCACTCTATTTAAGATAAGATACGTTGTTTGTGTACAGTTCACCAATGACTTGAATTAGATAGGAACTAACACCAACAATCAATGCAATAATTTATTTATAGGCAAACTTATAGGAAATTTTTTAAGTCCATAAAAATTATATGTAGGTCTTGATATCTTTTGATCCGAAAACATCGTCAATTAAAACCAGTCTCATGATGATTTCTAACCACATTTCTCAATCTAGTTTGAATTAGTTTTCCCCAAAGCTGAGCTGAGAGAGTTTGGTACACTCAGCTCCTTACAGCAAATTGAGTACTCTCTATTACTTTTTTTACATATGAAGGATATTTTGGCTATTTTCCACTCTCTTTTTTTTTCAGTGTCTTTTGTTGGAACAGGCATAAGTTTATTTAATGTTGCTTCCTGGAGTCTTCCTTTATCTCTTCCCTCTCAATATTTATTTCTTTGTCATCACCTCTGGTGCGGGTGGTTCGTTATCGTCACCTTTAGCAAATAGGGATGAAAAGTAGTCTGCCCATGTTTCCTTCTGAATGTGTTTCGTGTTTATTAGTTCGTTCATCTCTTTTCTTTGTGCTCTGAACATTCTCCATATTTCTTTTTGTGTTCCGTAGAAATCGTGTTCCATCTGTTTTGAGAAACTCTGCTAGTGTTTCCTCTTTTGTCTAACTAAAGTATTTGTTTTTTTAACTACCGTAAGGAATATTCAAATATGTTCAAATTGGGAGAACTACCATATGTAACTTTTTCAGCGTTCTAAATATTGTACTCTACCCGTAACCTGATGTAAGTCTGAGTAAGTCTGTCATTTATTTCTACTACCTAGTTTAAAATGGACTTACATGAGCAACCAATTTATTATTTGATTTTTACTTCTTATTCCTTTATTTGTATGCCTGTTGTGTTCTATATTGCAAAAATGCTTTTTCCTTTTCTTCACATTACATCACTAAGCAAACTTATAATAGGTATATAATTTGTCTATACAAGGCGTTAATATTTTTTTAAACCAATTATAATAATTTAGCCAATACGCTAAACCAATATCTAATGATTTTGCTTAAATTAATTAAATGCAAGGAAGCATAAACAATTGAAAATCTCATCGAACGGAAAAGCGACATAGAAATAAACTAAACTAATTTTTCTGAAGTAAAACTTGGTTAATAACAATAAGCAACATAAGTAAACAAGAACAGAGAAAGAATAACATGTGAAAAGATGCTAGATTTAAAAAATATATGGATTTATAGTTTTTAGAAAAACAATCACAGCATACACAAACCAGCAAACGTGCTAGAAATTTATTATCTCTCTCCTCAGTTTGTAAATATCAAATTATTTATATAAAATAAACAATATCATTGTAACCTCAAGAGTAGTAATAATGACAAATTATTTTTGCATGTATCAACGATTAATATATAACAATATATTGCTATAAAATATACCTGCTATCACCTTAACAGTTCTTTTTTATTAACTATATAAACCCTTCATAAAAATGTGTAAATCAGTTATAAAAATTATTATTCTCTTTTTAGTCATAATTAAAATCGGGCGTAGTTATTGTCAAAAATTCCTCTTGTTGGTAGAAACTGCACTTTAACTTTTGATGTCGCACTAAGTTCTTTTTTTCGTAGTAACTCTTTCCACATACGCATCCGAATTGTCCTTTGCCCCTTGGGCGTCTGAGATAACCTAAAAAATAATTTATTTTAATACAAACATTATAATAAAATACATTTGGCGCGCCCTAAAAATTATGGCCCATTTGTAAAAAACTTTTTAAAAAGTCGGTATTTACAGATTAGATAATAGGTACACACAACATACTTAAATACATACCTACATATTGTTACAAAAATATTAATATGTTAAGCATGAGATGTCAAATAGGTTGTCAATTAATTCTAAGATAATACTTCTTCTATTTAACTATTTCTACTATTTTAAAAATAGATAACATTGTTGCAACTTGTGACTTTATTTAACATGACTTTAGTTTCAACTAACATTTTTATGTTTGAGATTACAAAGCTTTCCTTGAATTTCACTAGATCAATTAAAAATCAGCCTCGCTGGCTTACGCCAAACTAAAACTTAATCACAAAATTACTTTTTTTCCTGAAATTGTACTTATTTTTGACAATTTTCAACATAAGAGCTAATATCTGTCAAGACTATATCTTTCAACATGTAAAGTAAAGCCCTACATGCAGATATCTAGCATACGTCGATTATGGTAAATTTTGGTCAAATAAATTTTAAAAGATTCAATATATATCCAAGAACCACTGCATTTTAGGTAGTTTCATCATCATCATTATGTAGCGCTACAACCATGGATAGTCTTGGCTGACTGTATACTTTTTTCCAAACAAGTTGTCTTCCTGGTTTAGTCTTCCATCAATATGTTGTCATCAACCATCAACAACGTGTTTGGGAAAGAAAAATTCTAAGGAAGATCTTTGGTCCGGTGCTTGATGAAGCATCAGGACAATATAGGATAAGAACTAATAAAGAGCTTGAAGAACTTTACCCAGACGCCAACATCATAAAAGAAATAAAGTCCAGAAGACTCCATGGGCAGGACACCTCAGAAGACATTCTGACGAACGAACAGTAAGACTGGTGTGGGAGGAAGTCCCAACTGGAAGGAGACCACGCGGACGCCCTCGTCTTCGGTGGCGAGATAATATAGCAGGAGACCTAAGCACTATGGGCGTGGAGAATTGGATGGAGGTTGCTCAAGACAGAAAACAGTGGAGGCATGTTGTCGAGTCGGCTAAAACCCACGAAGGGTTGTAACGCCACGGAGTAAGTAAGTAAGTAACCATCAACAAATTTGCTTTCTGGAGTCTAAGACATCAGCTAACCCTTTGAACATTTTAAATCTGATCAATTCAATTACATTTAATATAAAAGTAAGGACTGCTGAGTTTTTTATTTTATAGAATGGAATAGAAATATGTTTTATTGTCACTTAAAATTGTGCAATTTTATGGACACAGCTTACAAAAAGTCAGAAAATAACAATAAAAATTATAATTTACTGAAATAAAAGATAATAAAACAAGCATATCATATGCAGCAACTTCAACTTATTAGTTCGTTTTTAAGTTATTAAGTTTTTATTACCCAATTTGCAATTTACTTGAATTTTGCAATGGATTATTTGTTTTATTATATTTTATTTCAGTAATTTATAATTTTTATTGTTATTTTCTGCTTTTTCTAAAATTTGTCCATAAAATTGTACAATTTTCAATGACATTAAAGCATAGTTCTATTTTATTCTATAAATGATCATAGCTAGTAATTGTATATTTTTCTACAAAAAAGGTTCGTTGACTTCAAGACAGTGCTCTGTAACAGCTCTTGTAGAAACAAAAATAATTCATCTCTTTTATATCTTCTAGAACGAAAATTATTCAGGATCATGTGAATAATTCTTTCCGAAGTGAGAAAGGACCTAAAAGCAGCAAGATCAGATTCCAAGTCAGTTGGATCAATTATGTATGCATCGTTACATTCTAGAAGAATTTTTCCTAGATCTTCAGTCTTAGTGGAAAGTCCTTCGGAAGTCAAAAAGAGTTTAACGCTTGTGTTGGTAAATCCATCGTAACATACTGAAGAAGATTGGTCGCGGAGAAAAGCAATATGTAAATATCCGGTTCTCTTAATCTTGCTGGAAGATGTAGACTGTTCGAGTTATTGGTTAATCTAACTCTTTTTGGGGTTAAAGGATCCAGATTTATCGATGGTTACACAGTATCTTTCTTAATAAAATTATTATGGAAACGAAAAGGATTCTTATATTCGCAAATGTGATGCAAAATGCAAAATTTTGTGATAATAAAAGTAAGCGAGGTGTACAAGTTCTCCAAATTCTAACAAAAATAAATCTATTTTAAAAAATTTCGGCCAATACTAAATATAGATATTTTTTAAATGTTTTTTGTAGAAAATGTAAAAAGCAAAATGTGCATACCATGTAGTCTTAAGATAGTCTTATAAATAAAATAAATAGAAAAATAATAGTACATTGTTTACCGGGTAGGAAAAGCTTAACATTCCTGGACGACTGTGAAGATTGCTAAGTCGAGGCGCAAGCCGAGACTTAGCAACACAGAGTCCGGGAATGTGGCTTTTCCTACGAGGTAAACATACTATTTTTCCGCAAATCGTTTAAAATTCGACAGATATTGATTGATTTAAAAAAAAAAACGCGATAATTTTATTCCCAAATAAATGGTGCTTTGAAATTCCTAATAAAATTACTTGGGTTACTATGGAAATGTATTGAGGTTGAATTGTCAAACTTTATGTAGAACACTAACAACTGTACGGAAATATCATTTCCTTACAGTAAGGAAATGACATTTCCTTACAGTAAGGAAGTCCTGACTTTTTCTTCAAGAAATTTTGACAAGAATGTCAAAATTTCCTGGCGATTTGCGGAAAACAGTATTTTTTTATATCTCCATGACATTCACTCAATAACTTTTAATTCAACAAATATCCATGGCCAAATTTTCTTATTTTCTTTAAATAATAGCCCATCATTGTCTAAAACCCTTATTAGTGTACACCCTCAAGGGATCGAATTCTACTTCTATACTAATAATCACTACCTGTAGTAATTTATAAAGCTCAACTATACACATGGATTTATTTATTAAAAACAATTTTACCTAGAAATAACCCATTATTATAAGCAATTTATTAATAATATTTTATTATACATTTAACAAATATACTTGCAAATACAATTCAACAATTAATAAAAATTACATCGTTTTTAACTTGTAACTAAAAATTTTTATGGCACAAAACAGTAAGGTATTTTATTTTAACATATGTAAAACTATCCTACACCTAAATTAATTCTACTTTCAGTAAACAATTTGTATCCCACTAATTTAGTAAGGTATTTGCAGGTACTAATTTTAAAATCTAAACATTACCAAAAATTTACCAATACACTTTAAACAACTACTATCATCACTAATTTACATATCTACTGAGAAGGAATAACCGATTCAAGTAAAATTGGAAACAAAAAGTAGGGATACATAATATAAGTATATCGATACATATGGGTATCCCAAAATTCAGACAAGATTTGAATTTTAGCTATTTCTACAGTAAAATGTTATCACGAACAAAAAAGCTCATCATCACCTTCTGAGGTTAAAGAACCTCAGAATCTGGTTTAATACAACATCTGTGCAGTTTTTCTGCGCCGCTGAAGAAAAATAGAGCGTTATACAAAGACATAATACAAATAGACTGACTGCTGCCATACAGTCGCATTCCTCCAGTGCAACAGAGAAAATTGACTTTCTATCTCTTTTTAATGGGTCGGTTTTATCGATGACATGACCTTCTCATTGGTTATTTAGGTCAGATAGTCCATAAACCTGTCAAATTAGAAAGAGACGACTGCTTTATCTCAGTTTTCTCTGTCGCACTGGGGGAACAGGCATGTAGTGCAGCTATCAGTCTATTTGTATTATATGTCTATGGCTTATACGAGAGATCAATGCGTTTTCATTGTTGAAAAATATTGAAAAATAATGAAAGTTTTGAAATATTTATGTAACTTCGCCAACTGCGACAAGAGTAATTGAAAAATTGCTGTAGACTGGATTAATTGGTTATGCTAAATACACTGGTCGTCTAAGAACAGGCTGCTTATATGTCAATATCAAAAAACTGCGCGAGAGTCTTGTGAAAATACCGAAATATCAATGTGGCGTCTTGGACAACAACTGCAAGATTTAAGAAGCTATATATAGCGCATACTCACTGAAGACTGGCATCTACATTCTTACAAAGTACAATTTACATAAAAACTGAAGCCTAATGACCATACACAGCGAAGAGAGTTCGTTGAATGGAATATTGAATATCAACAAATACTTTTTGAGCAAAATCAATGTAATCGATGAATTGCATTTTCATCTTAATGGCTTTGTTAACCGTCAAAAGCGCCACGTTTGGAGTTCTGAGAACCCTGATGTGACTGAAAAAAAAATGCGTCCACGAACGTGAAATAAAATACGTCCACGAACGTGTTACTTTTTTGTATAGATTTTGGACTGGAGAAACAAAATTAAGCTACATTTATGCAAAATAGTCATGAAAAATTTCGACAAAAGAGTGGGTATATGTCAGTGTGTGGAAGGCATTTACCTGATGCGCTAATCTATAGACAACCCTATTCTATGTACTTTATGATTCAATAAAACAATTACAACAACAACAGTGTTTTCTATTCAACTCAAATCTTGTATAGAATGTTGGGACACTATATATATATATATATATATATATATATATATATATATATATATATATAAATAGAGTGTGTATAACGACGCTAAGAATACAATTCTTTGGAGGGTAACTTTCGGGAAAGCGTCAAAACAAGGATCAGCTAGAGATGCTGAGAGCTAGAGATGATTTATTCCTTTCTACTTCAACAGGTCTTGACAAGATGTAACAAACTGGAGAATGTAGGGAACTTATCATAACATGCATAGATTACCTACCTGTACTTGAGAAAAGACTTCATTTCCCTGCTGATTATGTTTCCTTGGGTTCTTTCTTTCCATATCCATGAGGTGCAAACGTGAAAATTATAACCTCGTTACATATGACACCCGGATATTGACAGAAATCACAAATATGTCATCAAAAAATGTATTTTTTAATATTTTTAACATGTTTGTGACAGTGTTCTTCACCACTAGGACCAACTGAACATTTTCAATGTAGGTTTTAAATGTTGATTTCCACCACTTGTACTAAAATAGGTTTTCCATTTAGGTGCTGATGAAGGTGACAACATATTCACCGAAAATTTCACATTTAGAATAAAGTTCTACACCCAACTGGCTTATACCATCTCTAGCTGATCCTTGTTTTGACGCTTTCCTGAAAGTTACCCTCCAAAGAATTGTATATATATATCCTGAGTGGGTCAATAAAAACAGTCCAACTTGGTATTTGGGAACATTAATCACATTTTGTAGTGTGTAAGTTACGCAAACTAATACTTTTGGTGTTATGGAAAGAAAAATCATGCTCGAAAATGCTCAAAATGCATGTCTAATGATGTGCCACACATGATAACGGGCACAAAAAAATGTCGTTATAATAAAAGCGGTCCATAATCCAAAAATAATGAAATACAATAAATCAAACCAGAGATATGTTTCAAACAAGACTTATAACACAAGAGTTCAGACCAAAAAATTGGCAGTAGATAGAGACAATCATGGACGCATTGAAATGTGATAGTGGAAAACAATATTTCAAATATATTAAAGCGTCAGAAAGACAAACAAACATAATAGTTCTTTAAGCCCCTCTCTACCTTCACTTTTATCCTTTTTCGCTCATATCAGCCGTGTTCACAATATGGAGTGCTTCACGTAAAACCCTTCGAACAAAGAGATACAGGACGATTACCCTGCAGATAGACTGATATAGTAAATATGCTACAGATAAAAACTTCACGAGTTCAGTACCAGCAACCCAGAATACAGAAAAATGTAGAGCCATCTCCAAAAGAAGAAATATGATACAAATCTGGGAAGGTCATTAACATTCAAAATCACTAATAGGCGAGAAGGTTTACCCCTATAAGCAGAGCATCAACCGACTAAAATTCTTTTTGCATTTCTAATGCACCAAACCTTTTTTATTCGATTCTATATATTTTTTCAAGATGAAATGTATTTTTTTTTAATTTTTACAAGTGGACCGGCAATTGTTATTAACAAATAACTTATACAAAAAGGCAATTTCACTGAATTGTTTCGGAATCATTTTTTAAGTGTATCTCATTAAAAAAAAAACACTTTTTCTTTCTTGATAATTTTTCGAAAAATGCTTCCTTTTCGAGTTATTTGCATTTTTTGTTGAAAAAAATGCCTTAATTAGTGATTTTTGGGATTTTTTTTCTAAAAAACTACTAAATGAATTGCAATTTTACAAACAGCTTTATAATCTTTAAACCGTCGAGTACAAGTTAGAATATTTTGACAAGGATAAATGGTTTCTATCTCGCTAAAAACGTGGACCCAAATATTTCGAATATGCCTTTCGAGAGTATCCCGCTATACAGCGGTTGAGGTGCTGTCGGCGCTCGAAATATATATATATATATATATATATATATTATATATATATATATGAAAAATATCTGATAATTGATTAATTGATTAAATTAATTATATATTGCTTAATGTATTTCACTGTAATAAAACATTCAATAATATAGTCACCACGTACATTAAAAGAAAAATTACATTATTAAAGAATTGTAAAAAATTAATTGTAATTGTTTTAATTATAATATGTCTATATAAAAATAATTAGAAATATCTTTTTTTTTTTAATAAATTGTACGTAATATTTGTATTGAATTAATTTTTTAAATTTAAACAAATATTTCTACGCGCAGCACGCCTGTATCGCCGCAACCGCTGTACACACTTAGCGGTAGACTGCTCGAAAGGCATATTCGAAATATTTGGGTCCACGTTTTTAGCAAGATAGAAAAAAATTATCCTTGTCAAAATATTCCAACTTGTACTTGACGGTTTAAAGATTTTAAAGCTATTTGTAGAATTGCAATTCATTTAGTAGTTTTTTAGAAAAAAAAATCCCAAAAATCACTAATTCAGGCATTTTTTCAACAAAAAAATGCAAATAACTCAAAAAGGAAGCATTTTTCGAAAAATTATAAAAAGACAAAAAGTGTTTATTTTGATGAGATACACCTAAAAAAATTGATTCTGAAACAATTTGGTGAAATTGCTTTTTTGTATAAGTTATTTGTTAATAACAATTGCCGGCCCACTTGTAAAAATTAAAAAAAAAATACATTTCATCTTGGAAAAATATATAAAATCGAATAAAAAAAGGTTTGGTGCATTAGAAATGCAAAAAGAATTTTTGTCGGTATATTCTGTTTCTAAGCGTCTTTTGAGGGGTAAACCGCTCGCCTATAAACTGCTATATTCGCTAAGAAAGACAAACAAAAAATCGTCAACATAATCATAAAATTATAAAATAACTTATCTGTAGTGTCACAATTAAGAGCTAATTCACACAACAGCGTATGAAATTTAAAGAAATTAAAAGATAAAAACAGAAATGACATCCTCCACTAATAATCCTGCGTGGTTGATGTGGATTATATGTTTTTTTTTTCTAAATAAAAAAAAGAAATGACATCGAAACTTGAAAATTGAGCACAGTTGTAAACAGTGGGTAAAAAATAATAACAAAAAATGTACGAACTCTTCAGTTATTCTATGAACCATTCTTAATGCCACATCATGTATACAGATATGTTTGGGTAAAATTAAATTATTAGAAAATATTTGTTTATTTTTCAATACGTTTTAAGGCGGATCCTGCTTTTTAGCCGAAACGTCAAGAAGAGTAAATTCCAATTTTACAATAGTTATTTTTTTTTCTATTATACCAGATGTTTCATTAATATGAGTAAATATTTTAAATGCACAATTTTAATGTTGACATATTTAAAATTGTAAAAATATTTTCATACATTAATTAAAGACCCTGTAAATTGACTAATGCGAGTTCCTATTACCTTAGTTCAAAAATTATAGTTGAGTACCCGTCGACAAAAAAGTTTATGAAAGATAATCTCTCCAAACATTGGGTATCGCTTCGTTAGACCGAGTCTGACACGATTTCTCTGTGCGCCTTTTTTTGGTTCTGGAAAGAAAATAGGAAAAACGCCCCAGAACCAAAAAAAAAGTTTAATTATATACCTTTTATAAAGAATTTTATTAAATTCTTTTTTATACATGGAATATAGCCAGCTACACGAACTTAGTTTCCTTGTGGATTTAAAAAAAGTCGCATAGGAAAATCGTGTCAGAATCGGTCGGCCTAACCAAGCGATACCCAAAGTTTGGAGAGAGTATCTATCATAAATTTTTGCTGACTGGCATTCTATTATATTTAATAGATAGTAATAGGATTACATAGTTTCTTATACCCGATATGACGTGCAAAGTATATAGGTATAGAAGAAGAAACAGTAATAGTATATAGTGCATTAAAAATTGATTACAATAATTTCTGTCACGTGATAAAACTAACTAGAAATTTCATTCTTCATTTTTCTTTCTTTTCTTCTCTGTACATATATTTTCGCTGCTCCTGACGTCCATTCCTCGCGATGCTTGACCATAATATGTTTCCTTAAATTTCCTCTTAGCTTAGCTTTATAAGGACAGTACACACAAACGAATTGTGGCTCTTTTTGACATTCAAACCTTTCATGTTTTCTCAAAGATCTGGAATGTTTGTATGTTTTTCCGCAAGTTTCACAAACGAAGTTTCCTGAAATTGATACAGTAATAAAAATCTAGAAGTACTTTATCTTTATTGACTCCAATTTTTGAAAATGGTTGAAATATGCTTTATTTAAGTTTTAAGCTGATTATTACTATGAAAAACAATTTATTTTAACTCTGCAACTTAAAGTTAGTTTATTGACATAATGAATACGTTGGAAAATTCCTCCATGGTAAAATTTATCTCACGATTGCTATTTACATTTTTGTCTCCATATAAACAAAAACGTGCTCTTGGGGTGTATGGCTTGGGCCATACAATCAATCAGATATCATAGAGGTATGATCATATCATAGGATGTTCCGTAAAGAATGAGACATATATTAACTCTATTGTTTAGGTTACAATAGGTCAATTTTACTAAATAAATCTTAGTCAAAAAGTTAACACTATGGCAGTTATAGGGTGTCGAAAAAATAAATAACATTTCCTGTAATATATTTTAAATACTAATCATTAGAGAGTTATTTAAACCATAGGATAAAAGCCGCTTTTCTTATACGATACTTACGATAACGAGCATGTAATCATGGCTATTACTCACGATGATTGAGTTTGCGATACGAGCCAAGGTGAATGCCGTAGTTCTACATAGTAAGATAACCATTACATCCAAGTAGAATACTATACTTTTTCTACGAACTTCTTTTTTTCAGTTTATTCGTCTTCCGGGTTTGGACCGTGTCATTTGTGAGTGACCCAAAAGTGGGTTCATCTCGACGTTTCGCTACAATTGTATGTAGCTTCTTCAGGAGAACAAAGAAAAAGAAACAGAAAAAGAAGACAGGAAGATGGGTAGTTAGCAACGGTAACTCAGTTACTCAACGCAACCAGAGGCGAATACTAACTACCAAGATGGGCATTTGGTCACAGTAACTCAACTACTCAACGCAGCCAGAGGTGAAAACCAAATGCCAGGACAGGCATTCACGTCCAACAGCTCAGAACACTAACGCGTCGAGAGGCGGGGATTCACTCCCCGCCTCGCCTCTATTATATATATATATATATATATATATATATATATATATATATATATAATATTTGTTTAGTTACTACTATTAAATAAAATAGACACGTATCTGAAAGAAATAACTGCAACTGATATTAAACAAACTTTAATTGGAATGTACATTATAATAATATTTATACAGATCGTATATGTGAATAACGCTAACATAAAATAATATTAAAATAAAAGCAACTATCTAACATAATGTAACAAAATATTTTCTGATGACTGTAAATTTTTAAAGATATTTGTTTATATAAATATTCACACAGCGTGAACTTATGTATATCCTAGGAGATATCCAGAAGTCGTGCCAAGAAAACATATCACACTGAACACTTCCTAGTTAGATTGTATATTTAAAATACCAAATATTATTAGCTGTCTTTAATGGTAACCACAATTTAAGTTAAAAATTGCTTTATTTTGAGGTGTCGATTTCCACTTTGAAAATGATTCTCAAAATAAAAGAATTATTTAAAGTTTCAAATCAAAATATAATAACAAAAACAATTATTCTTAAACAAATATTCTTATTGAATTAATATGCTGACTTTACAAAGTTGTTAGAATTTTTAAACTTTTTTAGCGCTATTTTTATGATTACCTCATTTGAGTTTAACGCAAGAGTATATGGGACGTGATTTTTAGGTATATTGCTGCTTACGTATAGTTTTACACTCAGGTTTTATTAGCCTTTGCTGGTATGTTAAAACCTGCAGGAACTGGTCATCCATTTTAAGCCAAGGTCTGAAAAGGTTTAGCGAGTAAGCATTCAGAGGTTAAACGACCAAGCCTGAGAGGTGCATTACTATTCTGGATCAGAACTTGATGAGTGTGCCAGACAGCTGCGAGTAGTGTGAAAATCATAAGCAGTGTTATTGTCGCAAATGTCAGTGGATAATTCTATTCGAGAAATTTAGTTTTTATTATTACAATGTGCTTAGTGTAACAACTGGATTAGTGGTATAAATAAAGTAGAAAATAAAAAAAAAAGAAGAATTGAGATGAAATTGAAACAATCGGACCAGGAATAAACTTCAAAATACTAAAACCATCATTCTAACGAACCTATATTAAAAGTTATTTATAATTTATTTCTTTCTAATAACTTCAATTAGTAGTAGAAGTATATAATTTTGTCTAACAAAATTTAATTTTAAAGGTATTTATAATAAAATTAATATATTTCTTAAAACCTTGAATAGGTGCACAAGATTTTGGTCAGATCCACCAAAGGAGCAAAAACCTCCGGCTTTCTTTTATAACTGCTAAATTATAAAGTATATAAAAACTGCTTATAACGAAAATGTTGTATATCAAAGACTCCTATAATTTGAAATTATTTTCGATTATACAGGGTCAATCGGAACAACGGAATGAACCAAAGTTATGCTTTTTAAATGGAATACGCGGTATATTAATAATAATAATGAAAATTTCTTAATATATTTTTTTAAAATATCAAGTTTGTATAAGGTTTTATAGGTCTAAAATTAATGACTTTTGAAATATTTACACTTTTATTAAGAAAATTGGTAAGATTGAAAGGGTTTACATAGGCCTTATATGTATTTTTTAAAAATTGATGTATTGTTTGTATTCCATATAAAAGTACTGTACTTCAAGAGTATTCACACGACATTTGAACTAAATTCGAGTAATATTACCGGAGTTGACCGTATTATTGTTCTAAAAGAACAACGCAAATACAATATGCCAAACGGCTAATTTATACTTGACACCAGATCTGGAATATCCTCTGAACACTTCAGTCAAATTATTAGGAAAGCAAATTTTGGTTTCAATCAGTTTTTCAAACTGTCTATATTTATAGGAACTATTAATATTTAAAGATAATAAATTTACGTAATCACTTTCTCATAATCGTGACTTTCGATGTTCAGGTTAACAATTGTAAATAATCAATTTTAGTATATAAATGGCAGTTTCAATTTCTCTAAATTCCTCAGCCTTTTAAATTGGTATTTATCAATATGTCTCTAAAAATTTCAAATAATCACAGACTGTCGTTCCATATATATCGACTTTTGCTAGTACATCATAAAATCTCCCCAAAGCTGTGTGGAATATTCATCAAAAAATGCATTCTCATTAGTGTATGTATTTTCAGTAGTGCATATCTCTAAAAAATAAAAAAAATATATTTAAAGAATATGTCCCTACACAATTAATTGCGTAATCTATTGATTTTAATTGTTTAGTCATAAGATATATATATATATATATATATATATATATATATATATATATATAAACAACTTATTAACTTTGTTTAATCAATTAATTTTTTAACAATAAATGTGATGTTCGGAAAATGTTTTCAACGTTAAGTACCTAAGAGAGAATAAAACACATCTTTCCTGAAGGACGCCCCACTTTATTCTGTTCTTTAATCGAATGTAGAAGCTCAATCTTGCAATCATACACGAGTTGCAACTCAGCATTCATACACAAGTTTTAATAGCCATATTAGTAATTTATTTATTTTAACCCTGGCCGATAACTGCCAAGCAAGCCTCCTGTCTTTCTCACACAATAAACCTTCTGTCGCTCCAAAAACTCTTCAAAGGTTTTGGCAGTTTTATTACCGTTTGTGCATCGAACGTAGTAGTGACGTTTAGAACTATCATTTTACCTTCCCAGTGTAATTTTTAGTCAATTTATTATTAATTAGCTAGGTCGAGCTTATATAGCGTGTTTTCCGAAAATAGCTTAAGAGTTCAACACCGATAATTAAACGAGCAATACTGGCAGCAAAAAATACAGACCTTGATGATCTGAATGCGACCATTCTGAATTTTCTTTCATGAAAGTCGTTTGCGTTCAAATCAGTGAACAAATTTATCAATCAGGTTCATGTAGTGAACTATCCTACAGAGTTTTCGAATTCACTGGCCTGGACTGGCCAAAGCTACAGTGAAATTAATAAATAACTGTAAATAATTAAAAATTATTATATTTTCTTATTTGAGGTTAGGTTCAATAAGAGTGGACGATTAACCACCTTTTCACTCGACCTAAGAAGTCTATTGTGCCTCATCTTTAGTTTAAAGTTGTCCTTGCAGTCTAGCCTATTTTAAAAAAGTATATTATATCATAAGTTAACAATCCTTCATATCGTTAATTTCTGTATCTTCCACAATCCACAATAGAAATAATAGCATTAAAATCTTGAAAGCCTCACAATAAAATACTCGACAATTCGAAAAGAGACTCACACTATCTACATTACACTAATCTTCTTCTTCTTCTTCACGTGCCATGTCCTCTAAGAAGGTTGGCAACCATCATGGTAATTCGCACTTTCGACGCCGCTGCTCTAAAGAAGACAGCAGAAGTGCAGTTAAACCAAGCTCTCAAATTATTCAACCAGGAGATGCGTCTTCTTCCGCGACTCCTTCTACCCTGTATTCTTCCTTGCATTATTAATTGCAACAAGTTATAACGCTCGACTTTTCTGACTTTAACTGTATTTAAGACCTCTTTATCTTTACCCATTCTTCTCAACACCTCGACATGTGTGACTCTATCTACACAACTTATTCTTATTATCCTTCTGCAGGCCCATAACTCGAAGGCTTCCAATCTGTCCGAAACATCTTTCTTTAAAGTCCAAGCCTCTAACCCATAAAATAATATGGAGAACACGTAGCATCTAATAAGTCTCATCTTTAAAGAAATTGAAATGTCCCTGCTGCAGAGTACTTTTTTCGGTTTGTTGAAAGAATTTCTTGACTGTCCTATTCTTGCCTTAATCTCTTCTGTGCACCAATTATTTTCATTAGTTATTGTACCCAGATATTTATATTACACTAATCTACATCACACTAACTCCTAAGAAGATTTCTAGCTATAGAAAATTTCTTAGAGACCTCAAAAACCACAATCTCCTCGGAGATATCCCTTTCAACCTGGAAATGAAACCATACGAAAACCAGGCCATCCTCTATACAACAGGTCCTATTCCCAGCATAAAAGAGTGAAAAAAAGATCTGCAAGCCATCACAAACCATAGTCACGTATCCATATCTAAGCGAAAACCCTCAGAATACATGGAGACAAACAACACTTCGGAAATGGTTCTCAAAATACAAACAGTAAATTAAACAAATTTTGTTTTTTGTTACATAGTGAAAAATTCTTCTAATAATTTAATTTTATCTGACTCGTTTATATTGACAATTCAGACATACACTATGCATTTTAAAGTAGACGACTTTAAAATGATATTGCCAATATTGTTGAGTTGCGCTCCTGGGACGACTTTACTTATAAGATAGTTCATTCGATTACATGAAATCAACTTTAAGTTGAGAATATCCATCAGAAAAAAATCATAGCATGTAATTCGTCTTTAAAAATACAAACACATGACATGATGACAGTCAAATTCTCCTGTTAGTGATTCCAAAGTAAATTATGAAAAAAAAAGGTAATTCCATAGTAAATTATGAAGGTAAACTAAATGCACGAACAAATACTTACCATGTCGGGATAGTATTATGAGGTTTTTTTTCCTGGTTTTTCCCTCATAATTTACTATGAAATCACTAACAGGAGAATTTTACTGTCATCATGTCATGTGTTTGTCTTTTTAAAGACGAATTTAAGTTTAAGTTTAAGTTGATTTCATGTAATCGAATGAACTATCTTATAAGTAAAGTCGTCCCAGGAGCGCAACTCAACAATATTGGTAATATCATTTTAAAGTCGTCTACTTTAAAATGCATAATGTATGTCTGAATTGTCATTATAAATGAGTCAGATAAAATTAAATTATTAGAAGAATTTTTCGATATGCAACAAAAAACAAAATTTGTTTAATTTACTGTTTGTATTTTGAGAACGATTTCTGAAGCGGAAATTGAAACGTCAATAAACGTATTTTTATCTTTAATTGTAGCTTATTCCCAGTTAAATAGTAATTAACACTCTCTCAATATCAAACAGTCAATACACAAAACAAACAACAAAAACACCATACCCTAAATTACAGAATCGAGTACATCCCCTCAGATATCTGTCAGCAGAGACCCTTCTACCGACTTATCAAAGACCACAACCTCATCCCCCAATTGGACTCAATCAAAGTCCTCCCATCCCAAAAGGCAGCCTCCGTGCGAACTACCACACTCCTAGACCTCACGACCTCACGGTAAAACTCCGAAAAATCACTCGAGATGATGCCATCTTAATAAATCCAGGATACAAATCTAGCAAACCCCATAATCCGCATCCCGCTCCAAAGCATCCAGAAATCTTTCACTTAGTCATAACTGAGTCGACAAAAAAGTTTCCCAGAAAACCATCGAGGATAACCTATCCGAAAACAGATTTCCTTTTTCCAAAATAGTTCGTATAATAGCCAGCTCGACAAATCAGTCCACCTCATATATCAGCGTTTTCACGAACTCTGAATCTAATTTCGCCGATGCACTTTCGAACAGCATAAAGATCGAGGGAAAACGGCTAAATTGTGAGATTCCAAAATCTAACAATTCCGTTTCGGTTCGACAAAAATGCTATTCGAAATATTGCAAAAGCAAACATCTCAGCAACGAATGCCTAGAAAAATCATTTACTTGTTCATTCTGTGGAGTACAACACAGGTCTACTGCATGACCCACGATATCTGCCGCCCGAACTGTAATGGACCTCATCTCGCTTTCTCACCAAGATGTCCACACCGCAACACACAACCTAAAAATTATAAACAAACCCAACCCGTATACTCACCTAAAGAAATTCTACTTTTCCTCAGATATAAATTGCTTAATTCATTTCACTTCGATGATCCTTTTTAATGTCTTCACTGAAAAGAGGACGTCCGTTATCTCAACCAAATGTCCAACAAACTATATGAATACGCCATAAAATAACCTAATAAACCAAAATTTCACCCAACTTCGCACATAAAAACACAACACACCACCCACTTGCACACCGATATATAGATACTAATAACCCAAGCACATCATCTAAACATATACCTATCATTTAACCATATATACACTTTACCTCTACCGAGCTTACAATCATAAACACCCAGAGAAAAAGCCAACAACACACAACCAATAACTACACTAATATATCACATCCATAAACACCTAATCACAACACCAAACAACAAACAGTGACCACTACACACACTCGTTAACAGTTGAATTCAAATCACAAGGACATGGTAAAATTGGTTTTCTGTGGTTTCTCAATTTCATTGCACAACGATACCTAATCCTAGGAGAGGACATAGCCACAGCTCTCCTCCATGCGTTTAACCCAAACAAACAAACAAAAGACCAACAATCTGAAAAGGACCGTTTCCCACGGAACTTGTACTTGGTAGCGGGCTTGGTGCACACCGCTCCAATAAGACGGAAATATTAATATAAATATAAATATAAATAATAACTCTCTGACACTCCTGCTTTACAGCGTTCACGCCGTGTCTCGGAGGGCGGCAGCTCGCCACTCACACCAACCTAAAAATACCACCCTTGAAGAGGCACGAAGTCTACACAAGGTAAAAACAAAAGGCGAAAAAGAGAATATTTTAAAATTAATTTTTAAAATATCTAAAAGGCATATCTACTTAATTTTTTTTTTAAGATTATTCGTTTTGATTACCTGAAAATAATATCAATGCAGTAGTACCCATTGGACAATAATAAAAACCTAAAATCGGTATTTACCGCTATTGAAATAAATTAGACAATAAAGTTATATCATCTCTATTTCTCGGAAGCTAATACAATATAAAAATATAAAGTATTAATAACAAGCAAAGAACAAACAAACATCGGTATACATTTTGTAAAATTTATTGGCATAAAAGGACTACACTCCTAAATATTAGGACAACACTAAACACTAATGTAATGCTAATAATAATGAATAAACTAAAACTTTAAAATTTATAGTTAACAAATCTCACATAATAAAATGGAAAAATGCTAACAAACATGGAACAAAAACTTAAACTACTGTCTAAAACTCGTCAATAGTTCCAGAAGGAACGAACAGTCGAACGGGACCAATAAAAAATCTTTTATTAGGTTAAAGGAAAATAATAAAAATTATTCAAAAAGGTATCCTAAAAATAGTAACAAAATATAGTTTAAAATTCACAAGAGTATTGTATAAGTTATTGGATACACTGTTCTGACAGTCGCAAAATGAAATAGATGAATGAAGTAAAAAATGTAGACTAACAATTCAACAGAAGATACTTTTTTACAGTTTAGCACGCCGAAGATGTAGGAATTAATTTAAAAAAAAATCTGTTAATATTCTTCTGTAATAAATTATAAATTATCCTTCTTAATCAATACTAAGTCACTACAATCAATACACATAATAGCATTCAGTTGAAACAATTGAAATTTCTTCAAAATGATCAAAATAAAGAAAGACCCAATTGAGAGTCTGTCAAAATGATCATAAAACAAAAAAAAAACAAAAAAAAATTATAGTAAAGCAGTTAGGCAAAGTATTCAAAAGAATTTAGATCAACTTGAAATTTGCCGTTACTTCCAATAATTTCAGTCATGCCTCTTCTCTTTGGGATTCCTAAAAAAATAAAATATTAATATTGGGGACAACGTATTTTATATTTAACAGAATGACACAAAATCTATTTCCAAACCAAAAAATTTACCAAAATATTTAAATAAATTTTTATTGTTTGATAAACAAAATCCCATTCGTTCTAGTCAGTACGTTTTCTATAGCTTTTGGCTACGTTTTCGATCACAATGTAATAGAATTAAAAACACAATGACATGAACTAAGTAGAAACATAAAATATTCAACTAAATCACAAATATATTTTCTACGATCACTTAATAAAGCGTATTTTTCTGCTTACCAAGGACAATAAAAATATGACGTTTATTGTGAACCGTCATTTTATCGCTCTAACTAATAGTTAAAATCTAAAACCATGCATCGTCATTAACAACCGCTGGCAGCCATTTAAGCTATAAACATTTGAATTGCTAGATTAAGAATAAAATATTCTCACGATTTGCTCGTTTTATTTTTTATTTATATGGTATGATATGTATCGAAATGATCGAAAATAGTGACAGTGATTTTCAAAGTATACCTCCCGGCATCAAAGTGTTGTAAAGGAATGAAAGTATTATATCAAAAACGATAAAACATGTTAAACATGTTCATAGGATGGTCTAATCTTAAAAAGATTTACAACGTTCTGAAAATGTATTTGTTTTGTTTTTCCTGAAAAAGTCGAAATACTAAAACCATCATCATCTTTGTCAATATATTCGATGTTAAAAAGCACTGTTGGAAAATATACTACGAACTTTAGTCGGATTAAAAAGTTGACTGCATTAAAAAAAGTATCTAATTCAAAAATCGCAGATTTTGTAAAGAACAGTAAGGTGAAAGGTGAACGGTGAAGTGAGCACAAAGAAGTGAAGTTAACTATTCAACGCATCTAGGTTTCCAGTAACATTCCAGAGGAATGACTGCTTTCAACATTTGTGTTGTAGCACTGCTCAAGAAACTATTTGCTAAAGAAAACGTGCAGACAATTCCAAACCACCAGTCTTATAAGTTATGTACTTAACATTTTTCTTAAAATAATACATGCCAAGCTTTACAAAAACCGTTGTCAACGCCAGAAGGTGATCGCAACTGTACAAAGAATTGGAATAGATATAAAGGACATTCGAATCATCAGGAATTGTTTACTGGATCTAAGGTGCTCAGAAGAGCTAAGGTCAAAAGTTGACCGACCAGGTCAAGATCATGCGAGAAGTGTGCTTACGCCTACCTGTTTTAAAATACACTCTGAAGAAATTTTCACTAAAGCTCTCACAAACCGAGATATGAATACTAGCAAACATTCCTTATTGGACCTCAACGAAGGTCCAATAAGGAATTGGAGCTCAACATTAGGAAAACCAAGGAAGTAACAAATTGGACCACGTTAACCAAGATTGGATCCTAACCGTGCTGCAGTGACGTAAGTTTAGAAACCAATATGCGGATAGTGAGCTGTTCTTCCGCTGCTACTATATAAAGTCGAATACTGGACACTGCTGCAAGCCACTGAAAAGAAGATCGAAGCCTTCGTGATGTGGCTCTACAGAAAGATATTGAAGATATCTTATGTAGAGCATGTCACTAACGTTGGAAGTCTAACAGCGTATGAAAAAAAAAAGAACTGCTGAAATTAGTGAAACAACGTAAGCATGAGTAAATCGGCCAAGTAATGCATAACAAGAGAACTCGTCATGAAGGGTAAAGTATTTGGCAAAAAAAGGACCAGGAAGCCGTCGTATCTCGTGACTAAAAAACCGACAATGGTTAGGAATAAATTCTACTGAACTGTTTTGAAGAGCTGTCAACAAAACCATGATAGCGTTGATGATCACCTACAGCCGGACTGAAAAAGGTACGAAGAAGAAAATATTTATACCAAAGATATAGAAGACAAATAATCTCTATTTTTATCATTTCGCATTCGAGAAAGTCGACTTTTCCCTGTCATACAAAACAGCCAAATATCGATTCAGAATTTAAGATCTATAAACAGAAATAAGTTACGGTAATTATTCTTATCGTTTTTATTCCAGTCATCAGAGACGAAATACCACTTAACATCTAAAAATCATACGAACAAGCTGAATAATGATGAGAATGTCAATTTTGGGTATGCAAAAATACCTTATGCAATATAATAAAATTATGCAAAAAAATTTTCCACTTACAACCCCCGGCTTCCCTTAAAACGCCCCCTTGTAGGGGAGAAAACGGAAAAAATAGATATCTTTCAATCGGAGTGTCATATCGAAAAAAATCAAAATGCATTTTAAAGGTGAAGAGAGCAACTTTCGTATGCAATTTTTGTTTTTTTCCCGCAAATAAAGTCAGTTTTTATAAAGGTGTTAAATTAATAAGCAATGCTCGATTTTTTAATGAGCTGAGATTAATAAAATTTAATACTTTCATGGTCACGGTCACTATAGAATTCTCATTATATGATCATAATCTTCAAAACTTATATCATAACATTTCGGCATTTAGTTTTGGCAATAGATGTGAGGCGCTTGAGTATGTCCAAAAAACGCTGAATTTAATCGTTCACATTACAAAAGATCTAAAACCTTAAGATCTGCTCCTTTTTGATTGCACAAGTACGTTTTTCGAACCTACACAAGTTTTGCTATAAATTACACTCAATACGGCTTTCGTGTAGAGCTTGCCCATGGCGTGTGATCGTTATTACTTTAAAATTTTAAATTCGGCGTTTATTAGACATACAGTGCTTTTCAGATAAAACTATCTACCTTAAAGAACTTTTGAACCTCTAATTTTTTGGAAAAACGCAAAAAACCCGTCAATTAATATTTGAAGGGGGAGACGTTATATCATATTTAAGGTTGCTGGGAAATGCACCCTTTCACCCCCTGTATCAACCCTTTATTTTTTTTAAATTACTTCCCCCTTTTTTATTTTATATTTAGATTCTCCTTTTTGTGTTGATTTCAAAAATGTATAAAACCTTTGGCTTGAAGTGATTAGTTTATGAGATAGACAATTTTCCTGTTAACAAGGATACTATCTCACTCACCTTAAATGACTGTAACAAAATAGGTTGTAGCATAATTTAAACTTTTTAAATACTTAACCTTACTATTTGTAGTACCTTCGAAAACCAAGAAATAAAAAAATTCAGTTTTTATTAAAGTTTTATCAAAAGTTAAGGATAACCTTTCCGAAGATTTGGTTGTATTTCAACATGATAGAGCTTCTCCACGCTTTGCTTTACCTGTGCGATAATTTTTAAACGAAACGTTTCTTGGTCCTTGGATAGGGTAAAGACGATAGATGATCGATTAACCACCTAGGTCACCGGATTGAACACCCCTAGACTTCTTCTTATGGTTGTATTTAAAAACAAAAATTTATGCTATTCAACCAGAATCTCTAGATGATATACGACAAAGAATAGAGGATAAATGTCGACAATTAAATGCAGACGTGTTAAGCAATGTCAGAGAAAAATTTCAAAATAGATTATACTATTGTATGGAAGTGAAGGTCAGTCATTTTGATCAATTATTGTAAAAAAATTTAGTAGTGAAATGGTCATTCTAAATGTGTGTAATATATTGTTAAAAAATAATTTTTTTTCTATCCAATTTTCTTGCTTTTGTATTTATTTTTCTCATACATTAATCACTTCAAGCATCATATATTATACATTTCTTAAATCAGGACAAAGAGGAGAATCCAAATATCGAATAAAAAAGGGGGAAGTAATTAAAAAAAATAAAGGGATGATACGAGGGGTGAAAGGGTGCATTTACCAGCAACCTTAAATATGGTATAATGTCTCCCCCTTCAAATATTAATTGACGTGTTTTTGCATTTTTCCTAAAATTTAGAAGTTCAAAAGATATTTAAGGTGGATAGTTTTATCTGAAAAGCATTGTATATCAAATGCCTCATATTTTGCCAAAATTCAAAATGGAAATTGCATTTAAAGGTTTTGAAGATTGAACCCTAACACTGTAAATACCGTTACGATCGGTCAATGAAAGTGATAAATATTATTGATCTCATGAGAAAGTAAAAAATGAAAAAATCCAATGACATCCAAAATCCATAACCTTTATTTATTTAATACCTGTATAAAAACCAACTTAATTTATATATTTATATGATACACTGATCAAAAGATATAAAATTTTTACCATCAAGTTGATACAAATTTTATATAAAACTGATTAACTTTAACATTTGTATCATTCAAAATCACCGGTCGCTTCAAGCGTTGTTTCTGAGAGAATGGTTTATTCTATATAAAAACTGCTAATAAATATTTTTGTTCAAAATTATATTAGATACATTTTTCATTTAAAACATTTTTTTCTACGGCCTACAGATTTTTGATATATTTTCCATTTTCTCCCACCCTACAAGGGGACGTTTTCAGCAAAATTTAGTTCGTTCGTGTGGTTTTCAAAGGTCAAATCGCTGACGATTGGACTATTTTTATAAATTTTTATAAAGATTCAAAAATAGTTGCATTATATTAAGTGATTGTATAAAAGAATTTGTGTCAATACATAAATATCTATATGATCAACCCTACTAAAGATTTTAGCATGCTGTATTAAAAATTTCAATCTTCTTTTTCCTTTCTGTGTTTTTTAATCACTTTGAATCATGCAAAAATCAACAGGAATCTCTCAATTACCACAAGAATCTGTTTTATTAACTAAATAGAGCAAAGGATGCACTTTTGTCACGTATCCCAAAAACACATTTATCAGACAAAAAATCGCATATCTCCACAGACGTTCTATAATTTTAAAGGAATTTTTTTTATTCAGTCAGGATTCGTTTTAAATATCTCCATATTCTACTCTATTGCAGCTGTATGCAGTTATACAAAGGTTTAAAGTAAACGTAGTATAGTTTTAAACTTAGATAAACTACCTTGAATCAACTTTTAAACTTGAATAACTAAACAAAAAAAATGTAGGTATATGATGCATCTTGCAAATAAAAATATTAGTTGGAAATTCAAGGAGAAGTCAACACATATTTGAAAATATATATATTTACATACTTCTAACAAAGTTTATTATTCTTAAAATAATATAAATAAACAAAACCATTTTAATTATAACTTAACATTTTAGTAAAATAGAACAAAAACTCAAAAATAAACTAGTTAAAAATAATTATTTTTGTAAATAAATTAGCTCCAAGATATACCAATATTCACCAAAAATATATCAAACAATTTATTATTATTGACTGAACTTAGTATTGGTCAATATTCAAGAGACATTTCACCAAAATTGTTCACCCATCAATGAGTTCAGTGATGATATTAGTTACGAATAGTTAGTTAAAAATATAT